CGCTCCACCRCTGAGCCACAACCCCAGCCCACCTCCCCATGTCATTCCTATTCTTTAAAAATGTTTTCACTTGGGTTCCCCTAGAAACAAATCCTGAGACAAGGATTTGGGTACGTTTCTTCCTTCCCTCCTTCCTTCCTTTGGTGCTGGGTATTGAACCCAGGGCCTTGTGTTTGCTAAGCCAGGGCTCTATCACTGAGCTACACCCCTAGCCCTACACTATTCCACTATTCTTGACCTCTTGGTTTCTTTGTGGCTTTTTAGATCAGCCTGTTACATTCTATGAAAAATTCTACTGGGATTTATGTAAGATTTGAATTTGATTTACAGATTAACTTGGTGAGAAATGATATGTTTATAATATTGAGCCCTCCTATGCATAATATGTCTATATTTTCATTTAGTCAGTTCATTCTTGAAGTCTCTGAGTAATTTTTATATTTGTTTTAATTTATTTGGGCTACCATAATAAAATATCTGAGATTGGGTAATTTATAAATAGCAGAAAATGATTTTCTCAAACTTCTGAAGGCTGGGAATTCAAGATCAAGGTCCTAGCAGGTTTGGTGTCTGGTGAAGGCCCAGTCTCTGCTTCCAAGATGGCACACTGAATGCTGCTTCCTCTTGAGGGCACGAATGTGTGCTCACAGGGTGGAAGAGTTGGAAGAACAGACTCACCTCTACACCAAGCACTTTTATAAGGTGCTAATCCCATCCATTAAGGCTCTGCCTTCATTATATCATCATTTCCTAAATGCCTCACCTCTTAATATTGTCACAGTTACATTTCTTTTTTCTTTTTTGGTACCAGGGATTGAACCCAGGGGCGCTTTACCACTGAAMCACATCCCCAGCCCTTTTTTGYATTTTATTTGGAGACAGGGTCTCGCAGAGTTGCTTAGAGCCTCGCTAAATTRCTGAGGCAGGCTTTGAACCTCCTGCTTCAGCCTCCTGATCCACTGGGATTACAGGCATGTGCCACAATGCCCAGTGACAATTAAGATTCAATACATGAATATGGGGGACATATTCAGACCWTAGCAATATTGAAAGGTCTATTTTATCTTTTGATAAATATACTCCCAGGTTTTTGTTGCTCTTATGAATTGAATATTTTTCTATTACATCTTCTAATTTGTCATTACTGATGTATAGGAATGCTAATCATTTTTAAGTTGATCCTGAATTCTGCAACTCTTACTAGTCCTAGTCCTAACAATTTGTTTCTGGGATGATTGATTTGATAGATTTACTACATAGACAATCGTATTGTCTACAAATATGGGTAATTTTCCTTTCCAATTATTAAATTATATTACCTTTATTTCCTTCTATTATAGGTATAAACATATAAATTGCTGATGTTGAGCAGTTTGTGACCTAAAGAAATGGCAATTTCATTCATAGGACTTCCAGTGCAATGTTGAATAAAAGCAGTGATAGAAGGCATCCTTGCCTAAGTCCTGACTTTRATGGAAATTGCTTCTAAAGTTTTACCATTAAGTATGATAATTGTTACAGGTTTATTAGGTTAAGCGAGCTGATTTGCATTAATAATTTGTTAAGACAGTATATTACATTAATGAATTATCTGATGTTGACTCACACTTATATTCTTAGGATAAAACATRTTTGCCATGATGTATTACTTTTGGTGTGTGAGCTGCTATATTCCTCTTGGTATTATTTTATTTAGAATATTAGAATCTACTGTTCATAATAGGTAATAATAGCTAGCATTTATTAGGTTTTATTTGTTCCAGGCCCCACTAAGGTGATTTCTATGAATTATTTTCATTTCATCCTAGAAGGTTTACTGTTATGGTTGTTTTTCCCCAAATATGAAGGTATTAAGGCACAGAGAATCAAGTTACCTTCTGAAGGTCACAGAGAAGATAAACAATGGCCCCAGGATACAAATCCAGATTGCCTGGCTCCAGAGGCCATGCACACCACTGCTTTATGCCATATCCTTGTATTAAATACCCATAAGACAGATTGTTCTATAATGCACTTTTGGCAGGGAGGTCGAGGAATTGAATCCAGCGGCACTCAATCACTGAGCCACATCCCCAGCCCTATTTTGTATTTTATTTAGAGACAGGGTCTCTGAGTTGCTTAGCACCTTGCCATTGCTGAGGCTGGCTTTGACCTTAAGATCTTCCTGACTAGCTTCCCAAACTGCTGGGATTACAGGTGTGCACCACAACGCCTGGCTATAATGCACTTTTATTGTGTGTCCTATAGTAATATTTCATCTAAAACGAATTCACTGATTTCTTTATTCTATTGGCTATCTTTTTTGGCCTTCGATTTTTTTCAATATATTTTTCAATTCTCAGTTTTTAGACTTATTTTTCTTTTTTCTTTTAAATCTCAAGTTTATAGAAAAAATTGCAAGTGCCACACCACTTATTCTCCTACATCATTTGGAAATACATTTACAACAGGATGTTCTATCACCTCTGAATACTTCAGTGTGCATTACTTACAAACAAAGATATTCATACAAAGATAACCAAAAGAATCTTCAATATCAGGAAATTACCAGTGATATATCTAATCCTCAGCTTCCATTCAGGGTTGGCAGTTGTGCAGTAGTGTTCTGTATAGCAAAAGGATCCCTTTCATTATCACATGCTGTATTTAATTTGGATATCTTTTTGGTCTCCTTCAATCAAGAAAAGTTCCTCAGTCTTTCTGTAGTTTTTTTTTAACCTTCACACTTTTGAAAATAACCAATTATTTTGTAGAACATCTCTTTACCTGGGTTTATCATGACTAGACTGAAGTCATAAATCTTTGGCAGGAACTTCACAAAAGTGATTCTGTATCCTTCCTGTTGCATCCTTTCAGGTGGTTCCCAGTTTTTATTTGCCCCATTTCTGGTGATGTTAATTATACTCACTTGGTTAAGTGGGTATATTAGTTTCCTAATATTGCTGTAATAAGTTACCATAAATGTAGTGACTTAAAACAACTTGAATTTTTTCTCAGTCTGGAGATCCAAAGTCTAAAGTCAGTCTAGTCTAAATGACTTTAGAGCTAAAAATGGTCATATGGCAGGGCTGGTTCATTCTAGAGGTTCTGGGTGACAATCCATTCCTTGCCTCTTCTAGCTTCTAGAGGCTGCCTTGGGATTCCTTGGCTCATGGCCACTTCACTCCAGTGTCACCTTATATCTTCACCTCTCGTTCTTCCTCTCTGGTTCCCTCTTTCCTTCTTATAAAGACCCCTCTGACTAAATGCCCCCCAGATAATCCATGAAAATATCTCTATCCACATAATCACATCTGCAAAACCCCTTTTGCTGTTTAAGGWAACATTCCCAGGTTCTGGGGTCAGGATGTAGACATCATTGCAGGGAGCATAATTCAGTCTACCACAATTAACTCTTTTTTTTTCACGTTTTAAGCATTTTGCAGGGAGGTACATTGAAACTATAAGTATCCCATTTCTTATTAAACCTTTGGCTATTTATTTGCTTCGGTATGTATTCATAGCTTCTTATTTTATTCAATGAGTTATAACTCATCACTGCTTATTTTAATGCTCAAGTTGTCCCAGATATGATCAATGGGTCCCCATTAAGGCAGTTTCTGTGTCCCTTTGACACACCTCCATTATTTTCTGAGCATGTTCCTTATTTTCTGGCACTAGAATAAGCTATGAATGGATATTACATTTTTTCTTTCTCTCTCTCTCCCTCCCCTTCCACCTAACAACGAGTTTTGCAGTTTCCTCCAGGTTTTATAGCATTCTTAAACTCTTGTCCAGTGGTATGTTAGGGGATAATACATATCCTAGGAAGCCAGGGCTACAGACAACCAATTAGCAGCAGGCTTCCCTCCTCCCAAGAACCTTTCAGGGATTAACATACACTCAAGCTCCCAAATTCTATCCAATTCTAGCCAGTGTCTGTTAGTCCTCCTTTATCCCAAGGACCTCACACCACCACCTTTGGTTTCCAAAGCTTAGCTGGTCCCAGGCTTYGGTCTCTGAATATTCCATCTCTTTTCTGGTTTTGGTTCATGGAGATGATGATCTTATTTGCAGCCTAGTTATGTCTTTTTGATTTACTTTATATATCTCACCTATTATTGCTGCACTTTGGAGAAGAGAGGTTGCATTCAAACCTAAATTCTCCAAACTATCCTCAAGGGGAAGTCAGCTCCATTTCAATGCTGGTTTTTTGTTGTTGTTGTTGTTGTTGTTTGTTTGTTACTTTTTTTTTTTTTTTTGTACAATCATATGCCAACATGTCAGATTACAACAAAAAGCCACTGGGGGAAACAATTTGAAAGCAAAACTGAGAGGCCTGAGAGAAGGTGACAAAGCTRTCTTTTTTATGTGATCTGTCCCTGAGACCCTACCTTTCCCACCTTGTTCCTCCAGTTGTTAAGATCTGCCTCTTGGGGCTCAGATGGGGAAGGAGGTGGGGGGCTGGAAGGAGGGAGAGTGCCATGGGCCACAGGAAGTGGCCACAGACCCTTTTGGATCTTGTACTGAGGCACGGCTCCGCCAGGTGCAGAGGCAGGACTGCTCTTGCTTTGGCACCTAGCCTGGCTTGTTCCCCAAACCCTAAAGGAAGGCTACTGATTCCAAAACTTAACTAGGGCCAGCTGGCCAATGGAGGGGTGTGTTTGTTCCCTTGAGCTGCCTCTGGTCGGCSGAGGTTGTAAGGTCCACAGCGGGAGAGGCGGCTAGCCCACCCTAGCCCCATCCTCTCCCTTCAATTCTGCTTCCATCCCATCCCAAAGCTGGGTAGGGGAACCCTAAACAAGTGTACCCTCCCAAAGTTCCACACCCTCAGTGTCAGAAAGTACCCAGGACAGCCATTGACGACCCACGGTGACCAGGTCTGGCCAGCCCGCCCAGCCCGGGCTCTCTCCTGCCCAGTCCCGCCTCATCCACGCGTGGGCGGGGCTCACTGTGGCCCACGCGGGGCGCGCGAGGCTGTCCTCCGGGTCTTAGTGCCCGCTCCTCTCGCGCGTCATACCTCTGGGACCAGAATCAGCGCTCACTCGCCTGCTAGCTGTGCCTGGGTGACCCCACAGCTGAGCGCTCCGCGGCTGCCACCACGGCCCCCGCCCGCCATGAGGAGMGCGCACCAGCTAGTCCTCTTCTCCCTGGTCGTCCTTTGCAGGCGCGGTGAGTTATTTGGGGGCAAAAAGGGAGAGGAGCCTGGGTCAGGCTAAGCGGGGCTGGACGGGCCACAGGGGAGGAAACGGAGGATGCCTTGAGAGTGGGTGGGGGTGGACTGGGGGAGTGGCCCGAGGGTGTCCCAGCCAAATGGGGGTGTGGGCGGGGCTGAGCCCGCTTGCAGMGGCAGTAGGGGCGGGCCTGGGTGGGTCTGCGAGGTTTGGGGTGGGGGCCACCTTTCCCTTTGCACCCGGGCCACTCTCCAGTGGCGAGTGTCTTTGGGCTAGGCATCCGAGCTCGGTAGTCCCGSGTCTATAGACAGCTCTGCTCAGCCCCAGCGCAAAGGGAAGCTGGGGGCAGCGACTCCCGGTCTGGACAGGGTCAAGGCCCCTTCCTTACTTAAGAGGTGACTTTCATGAAGACTGAGSGCAACGAAGAAGCCTGCAACCCGGCGCTGTAAAAACCCTGGATCAAGTCCGCTGCTCAGTCTCCCCCGACACCTTTTGCGCTGGAGAAACAGCCAAGCGGGAAAAGGATTGGCCTTAATTGCACTTTGGGGGCGGATCTCCCAAGAAAACACATTTKATGTCATCACCACCTCCGGTCCCCAACTCTGGCTTGGCTGAGGGCCAGGCTGGTGAAGTGGAGCCTTCACTCAGAGGCCTGCGATCTCATCTCTGACACTTGGAAAGGAGACCTAGTCCACCCTTCGACCCCTCTCCAGGCAGAGTTCAGACGTKTGAGGTTTGGGCTTCAGTTGTCCCACCAGAGTTCCAAGGACACTTTCAGCTCCTGTACTCTGTCCCAAACTTGTCCCTGGGCCCCAGTCAGCCCCGAAGCCTACGGCTACATCTTCCTCAGACAGAGACCAAGCACAGGAAGTGCTGAAGGCAAGTTCCTATGGGAAAGCGGAGCCCTCATCAAAGATGTGCCGGCAAGCAATGTGTGCATCGTGGCTTTGCCAACACTTGCTGGGTGACCCTGTACCATTCTTTTCCCCCTCTTTGGGCCTCAATTTCCCTATCTATTCTATGGAGATGATATGTCCTATGTGGGGCAGTTGTAGTATTTCTAAAGTGTGATTCTGGGAGACAGCCTGAATTACCCTATACAGATTCCTGAGCCCCATCCCAGGCTCAAGAGATCAAAATCTTTGGAAACAACCTGGGAATCTGTTTTTATACATCCAGGTGATTCATACATGTGGTTGGAGAAGCACTGATAGTGTATGGTAAGCTTCTTGWAAAAGATCAACTCTCAACTTTTAAAAAAATCCACAGTTGCCTTTTGACAAACTCTTGTGTGCCCTTCCTCAGTTAAGGACACACACACTCCAACTGATAATTCCTGCCTTGCAGATGCCTACTTGCCAGTAACATTTTGTTACCCTTACTTTCTGTAGTTGTATTCCAAAATAATAGCTATGTCACTTCATTTTTAGATCAGATGTGCTTTTTCAGACTGGACACACACACAATTTAGAATTTCAGCTACAGCTGCCTCTTAGATTGTTAGGCCCTTTATTTGGGGGAGCTGTTTTTTCAAAGACAGCCTCCAGAGGCAAACCCCTGGGCAGAGGCTGAGGACCACTCCTCATCAGAATCATTGGGTGATGGCTGACCTCTAGTGGTGGCTTCTGTTTCACTATGTAAGCAGGCAGTATGAGATGTAACCCCAGTTGTGCCCAGGAGCTTTTACCTGTTCTGACCCCACACCTGGGGGGGTGTGTGTGACGGGGGGTGAAAGTTCTGTTCCTTGTCTTTTTAACCCAGCAGGCCTTGCAAGCATTAGGCAGCAGATTGGAAAGACTAATTGTGATGTTCTGGTGCACCCCCCTCTACTTTTTAGGAACTGTGCATTCCAGCCCATAGGGCTGGTCATTATTACCCCTTCGTGTGTATGCAGGTGTGTGCACACACATGCATACAGACACACTCATAAATACAAACACAGGTGCAGGTGTGGACACTACCCCCACTCCATAATCAAACAATACTAATTATGGCCTCTGACAGGGCAGTTTCCTTAGGGGGTGAAGTTAACAAGGGCACAAGCCAGGCAAGGTTGTGCCTTCCTATAATCCCAGTGATTCAGGAGGCTGAGCCAGAATCAGCAACTTAGTGAGGCCCTGAACAACTTAATGAGACCCTATCTCTAAATAAAAAATAAAAAGGATTGGGAAATGTAGCTTAATGGTAAAGCACCCCAAGTTAAAACCCCAGTAAAAACAAAACAAAACAAAACAAAACAAACAAACAAAAAAAACCACCCCACAAGCCAAGTCATAAAGTCACAGGGTCAGGGGAGAGTCTTTGTTTGAAAGAGACTCCTAGACCTGACTCTGATCTGACTTGCTGGGGGTCCTTGAATAAATCCCTTCCTTCTTTGATCTCAGTTTCCCCAGTTGAAAAATACAATGTTGGGTAAATAGTCTAAGGTTCTTGGGACTTTTAACTATGGAGCCCAATGCTGGTCCTCAAGATGGGGAAGGGTCCCTCAGGTTAATTGAATGACTCGGAGGCAGGACAGGTCACAGGTGAGCAAGCTGAGCTCATCAGGCACGTTTATAGCTGAATCATGAACCCCCACAGCTACGCAGCAATCCTAGACTCTGAAGACCCCCAGGGAACCAGCTTCCTGGGGCTACAGAGATGCAGAATCCAGCCTCCCATAGTATTGCAAGGTCGAAGCCTGGGAACTGCAGATTCTGACCACAGAGTTGCCTCAGACATGCCAGATGGTTCTGGGAAAGTCATTCCCTTTACTATGAAATGAGGGGTTAGCTGAAATAGGTGTACTAAAGAAGGACTCTGGGAGGGACCTACGTGTAGGCTGGAGATACAGAGTGCCTTTCCTGACCCAGTATTCCAGCAGCTGGCCTCTGGGAGAGGGGATCCCAGCTTTGAGAAGCAATGTTAARAATCTAGGCCAGGCATCTACAGGACCCCCGTCAGGTGAACCCAGGGTAGTCTGGGGGAGGGACAGCAGGCAGCAGGTGCGCTGGGAGCATCTTTCACAAGGCACTAAATATTGCATCTGCTCCAGATAGGCAGCGAATTGGAAAGTGCATGGAGTAGGCAGGGTGGCAGCTGCTTCTCATGACCATGTGTCCAGCCCAGCACTCACCCAGGAGCCCACCTCAGACCTGCTTGACTGGGGTGATCCATGCTCTGGGACCCCTGGCCTCGTCCAAAGAGGAAGGGATTTGGTAAGACTTAGTGAATGGCTGGTGGGGGGGGGAGGAAATCACACCCCTGGCCTGGTGAGCCAGGCAGCCCCTCGCCAGCATCGCCACCCCCATCCCTATTCCTTTATCCCCCACCCCCTACTCCGTCTGCTCTCCTGCCACAACGCTGTTTCCTCTGGTCACTCTCATCTCTTTTCCTGCTCCTGGGTAATCCTGTTCACACTTCCTTGACCTTCTTCTGAGTCTGCCTCTTTCCAACTGCCCCTCCACCATACTTGACATATCCTCCCTGAAGACAACTAGTACAAGCTCAAGTCCTTGAATTCACATTCATTCCCAGATGCGTGAGGGAGATGAAACCAAGATTGAAATACCACTTGGCAAGAGATCTGAGGTGTGATCCGGGGGTGGACCTGGGGACTTGCTGGGGAGTGGGGTAATGGCTAGCTCTGACTCCCTGCGGGAAGCTACACTAGCACTGAGAGCTGGATGTGGCTCTGAGCCAAGGCCTCTCCTTTCAGCTTGATGCCAGGAGCCACCTGCCAACTGGAACACTTCATTTGGTGTCTCAAAGGGACTTTGTGCTCTGTAGATCTAAGTCTGAATCCAGGCTATCCCTCTTCTTTTCTTCTTAGGGGAAACAGTACTGTGCACCCAGTTCTGTGTGCAAACCCATATTTGAGTCATAATGCTCCTCCCTTGTACTTTGTGCTGAGAGCAGGAACCATATCTGTTTGGGGTATTTTTGTTTTGATTTTGTGGTAAGGTGTGAAACTCAGGGCTTCACACATTCTAGGTGAGCACTCTACGACTGAGCTACATCCCTAGTCCTTTTAATTTTATTTTGAGACAGGGTCTCACTAAGTCACCAAGGGTGGCCTCAAACTTGCAATTCTCCTGCCTTAACCTCCCAAGTATGTTTATAGGTTTTGTTTGCCATTATCCCCAGCACATAGCACAGTAGCACAGGGCCTGGCACAGGCTAGACACCTGGATAGCTGGTGGGCTTGAGGCAATCCTGTCAGAAGAAATAATTATGCTCAAAAAGCAAGGAGAGAGTCAGTGAAGACCACAAGGGGGGAAAGCAAGCTGTAGGTATGGCCAGAGTATAGAGTGTCTAGCATCAAGGTGAACAGGCAAGAGGATATGAGGTTGAGAAAGATAAGTCAGTGCTAGGAGCAAAAGGCCTTGAATGCCAAGTTGAAACATTTGGGTCTTAACTCTGCCTTCAGTTATGAGAGATTGTGGGTAAGGAAGAACCCTGAGCCAGTGTGCAATCTGAAGATCACCCTGGCACTACAGGACACATGGATGGCAGAGGCAGGTGGGACCAGCAAGGAGGCTACTGGAAGAGTTCAGAGCAGGGGAGGTAAGCTAGGGCCTTGGCTATTGGAGTGTGTGGGAGATGGAAGGACAGACTGGGGGTCTTGGAAAGTAGACTAGACTGGCCTAGACGGCCACTTGAATAAACCAAAGGAGGAGAGGATTTCCAGGTTTGGGACTGGATGTATGGTGCATGGGATGCCATTCATTGCTAGAGGGCAAAGAGGTATGGCATGGGAGGAGAGAGGTGAGCTCTGGCTTGACTGTTTAGTTTGAAGTCCCCAAGAAGAGGCAGGCCTGCCGTGCTCTTATCGCCATCAGTAGGCACCGAGGGCACCCTACTCTCCAGGCTCACAGCTCTACCCTTCACTGCCGTAACTGAAGTGGGGGTTGACTGGACGAGGGCTCGGTGGGTCTGACTATGCCATTTCCCAGGGGACTGTCGCATGGCCAATGCTGAGGAGAAGCTGATGGACGACCTTCTGAACAAAACCCGCTACAACAACCTGATCCGGCCAGCCACCAGTTCCTCGCAGCTCATCTCCATCCAGCTGCAGCTCTCCCTGGCCCAGCTCATCAGCGTGGTAGGTGCAGAGGCAGCTGGGGCTCAAGTCTCAGGAGAAAGCGCAGGGTGGGTTTTCAGAGGCCCCCTGCCAGGTCTCAGGGAAAGGAGTGGCCATTCAGTGTACAGAGCTGGGAGTCAAGGGACTAGAGTTTGGTTTCTGGCATTGCTCAGATTTCTGGGCAAGGTTCCAGATTTTCATCATTTTTCATTCTGTTTTTTCAAAAGTGTAATTAATATACATTTGACTCAGTGATTGTACAAATTTATGGAGTACAGTGTGACATTTTAATACATGTGTACAATGTGTAATGATCAGATCAAGGTAATGGACTTATCATCTCAGACATATATCATTCCTTTGTGTTGGGAACACTCAAATTCTTCTTTATTAATTATTTTGAAATATTCAGGGCTGGGGATGTAGCTCAGTGGTAGAGCACTTGCCTAGTTTGCACAAGACCCTGGTTCAATGCTCAGATTCCAAAGAGAGGGGGTGGGGAGAGAAAGAGAGAAACAGACAGAATAAGGAAAAGAACAAACAAATATTCAATTAATTGTTGTGTGAGACAGACAGAATAAGGAAAAGAACAAACAAATATTCAATTAATTGTTGTCAACCATATTTGTCCTGCTGTGCTACAGAATGTAAGAAGTTATTCTGCCTATCCAACAGTATCCATTCCTTCTCCTTCTTACCATCTCTCTCCAACACCATTGGCCACCACAAACCTAGCCTCTCAAAACTATAGTGCCCAAAAAGGCTTGGGCCAAATGAACATCTGGCCCCATCCCTTAGGAAGTAGCACAGTCAGGAGATGGGGAGGACTRGGCAGGATGGAACTCTTGACTCCCTGTTCCTCTCCCTGTCCCACGGCCAGGTCTGAGTGTTATTGTCCAGCCAACTCCTTTTTGCTTAATAGGGTGAGCCCCAGGCGCTGTTATGCAGCTGCTGCTCTGGTGAGGGCAAGCAGGCAGGCCGCCCTGATCAAGCTTCCAGGCTCATGCTGCCCCTGCCAGATCTGCTCTGCAGGMCCTGCAGAGTGATAGAGGCTACCAGTAAGGGGAGGGGACACAGCCTCCAGCTCCTGGCCCTCCAGGTAACACTGTGAGCTGTTGTATTCCCAAAGGCTTGTACATAAAGGAAATATTTATGGGGTTTTTTTGTGGGAGAGGCTTTCTTTTTCCAGGATTTATTCTTTTTTTTTTTTTTTCCGAGGAGGGAGGCACAACTAGTTTAAAGACAGAAAGTTCTAGGGAAAGGTGAGGAGTTTGTGCTGAGTAAGACAGGTCCAAGTAGCTCTTTGCAGGGTAGACTAGGGTCCTGAACCAATGTCCTCGGGCACATTCAGGGGAAGTGAAGGGGAGTGAGAGGCAGGACTAAAGCACAAGAAAACTTTCTTGATGATAGAAATGAGGTGGATTACATGGGTAATCCATTTGTTAAAACTGATCAAACAGTGCATTTAAGATCAGCATATTTCACTGTGTGTGAATTATATCTCAACTTTAAAAAGAGGTTTTTAAGACAGATGAAGGTTTTTGACTTTCAGTGATGGCAGAATTGCTTGTTGCAGATTAGCTTTCTAGAAGAACAATTAGAAAAGACGGAGAAAAATAAATGCCAGAGGAAGAAATATACATGTGTTTGAGTGTCCAGGTTCCAGGAGGTGAACCTGACAGTCCGTGATGCTTTACCTTACCTTTGATGGTTGGTAAGCAGTGTAAGGCTAAGAGGCTAAGAAAATGAGCCCAAGGTGTAGCTCAGTGGTAGATATGCTCAAGAAAATTATGAAGATGGAGAATTTCTCCAGGGAACTGGTTATTATAAAAAAAAAAGAGGGGGGAAAGGTAAATTCTAAAGCCAAAAAAATACAAAGACTATAATTTAAAACTCATTGGAAAAAAATCACTGGGTGGGTTTCATAGCAGATTGGTCATTGTTGAGAGCCACAGCCAAAGGGGCCCCAGCAAACTTCCAGCTGCCAGCAAACCTTCAGACTGCCAGCTGATGATTGGCTCACAGCGGCCCAGCAACATCTAGCTGATTGGCTCCTCCACAGAGCTGTTCATTGGGCTGTTTCCCTGCCCATTCAGACCACAGAGCTGCTCATTGGGGGACTTCTTTGGCTCCGCCCATGCGACCCAGCCAATCGGCCTCAAGAGCAGGAGGATTGTGGGAGGTGGGGAGGTTTTGTGGGTGAGAGGCTTGTGGAAGCCGGTGGTGGCAGTTGGGCTCTGAGGGTTTTTTCCTTTGGAGCTGTTTTACTTGGCGTTTGTAGTTCTAAAAATAAAGTTAGTTTCTTTTGACAAGTGGCTCCTGAATTGTGCTCAGCCAGACTGCGGCAGGTCATAGCAGAAGAGAAAATTAGTGAATTGGAAGACAGCTCAATAGAAAGCATCAATACAAACCAAGGAGAAGAATGAATGAACATACAAAGTAGGAGATAGTTATAATATTTAAACAAGGCTAATGTATATTTGGAGTCCCAGAAGAAATGGAGATAAATAAKAAGACATAAGCAATATTTGAAGTGATATTGACTGAGAATTTTCCAAAACTGAACAAGGATATGAAGTCACAGATTCAAGAGGCTCTATGAACTCCATGAGAGACAACAAAACAAAACGAAACCCATACCCAAATACATCATATTCAAATTCCTGACAACCAAAGACAGAAAATCTTAAGAGCATCCAGGAAAAGAAAGAAGAAACAAAGCAAAAAAGATAAGAACAACAATAAAATTATCTGCTGAATATGGAAGTCAGAACATTGGATGGCATTTTGAAAGTGTTACAGCCAGGGAAAAACCTACAAACCCTAGAGTTAGATAAGGATTTTGAAGGACTCTTTCAAAAATTAAGGTGAAATGATGACATTTTCAGACTAAAAATAAAAAATAGATAATTTAACACCAGAAGATTTAATATTAAAGGAAATTCTAAAGGTTGTTCTTTTGCTACTAGGAAAATGATCCCAGATTGAGCAAGAATGAAGCACAACAAAAAGGGTAACTGGATGGGTGAATTTAAGTTGACATTGATGCTATAATACAATAAAAACATTTTGCAATGTTTTAACTTACATAGAATTCAATATATGAGAAGAATAGCCCAAAAGTCTGGAGTGGGTAGATGGAGTTGAAAGGTTTTAAAGTACTTGCTTTTTTCTGGAAGTGGTAAAAGTACTAAATTTATATTAGATTATAACATCAAATATGTATAGTATAATCTCTAGGGTAACTACTAAGGAAAGCGTCACATGAAGGTAGGGGGAAATGGAATAATAAAAGATTCCAAAACAAGTCAACAGAAAGAGTAAACACAAAAAAAAATAGATGATAGGTTTAAACTCAAGAACAGATGCTCCTCAACCTGAGATGGAGTTATGTACCAATAAACCCACTGTAAGTAACAATTATTGTAAGTCAAAAGGTATTTACTACCCTGATAAACTATTGTAAAGTAAAAAAAAAAAAAAAAAAAAGAAATCACAAGTTGAACCATCAAAAGTTGGGGGCCAGGCTGGAGTTGTAGCTCAGTGGTAGAGTGCTTATTTAGCATTTGTGAGGCATTGGGTTCAAACCTCAGTACCACATCAATCAATCAATCAATCAATAAAGGTATTGTGTTCATTTACAACTAAAAATATTTTTTTAATTGGGCTGGAAAAAAAATTGAGCCAGGTTGTGGTTCAGTGGTAGAGTGCTTGCCTAGCACGTGCAAGGCCCTGGGTTCAGTCCTCAGGAAAGAAAGAAAGAAAGAAAGAAAGAAAGAAAGAAAGAGAGAGAGAGAGAGAGAGAGAGGGAGGGAGGGAGGGAGGGAGGGAAGGAGGAAAGAAGGAAAGAAGGAAAGAAAGAAAAAGAGAAAGAAAGAAAGAAAGAAATTGTGTCCAATTATAATTAAAAGATAAATATTTTTAAAAACTGGGGGGGGCCATCTCTATATCAGTAACTATATTAAATATAAATGGCCTAAATACTCTAATCAAAATGAGACAGGGGGCATGTATCCATCCCTTTTTTCCCTGCTCCTAATAACCAAGAATGTGGATGTTGTATTTGATATTCCAACATCTTAAACCATGCAGATGGGGGTCACACTCTTGGTGTAATAGAAAAGAAAGGTGGAAGGAACCTGAGTATCTGAGGATTTTGTAGAGCAGAACCACCATTTATGTCCAAAATGTTGCTTGAGAAGGACATAAAGTTCTACTTTATTTAAGCCTATGTTTCTCTGGTTCTCTGTTCCTGGCAGTTTAGCTTTGTCATATTAATAGGCTTACCCAATTGAGGGTTTAGGGCAGGTTCCTTGAAGAAATTATCACCAAGCTGAAATCAGGACATGGAAGTTAACTTGATGAAGAGAAAGCAGRAAAATGGTGCAAACTGAGAGCACAAGACACATTCAGAGAACTAAGGAAGCCCAGCAGGGCTGGAGCACAGACTAAAGAAACACAGGAAGGTGAATGAGGCTGGGGAAGTTGGAAAAATCCTGTAAACCCTATAGAGGGATTAGATTTTTATTCTGTATGTGAGGGAAGCCACAGAAGTGATTGAGTGGAAAATGGCAGGAAGTTTGGAAATTTTCATTCTGGCTGTAAAGGAAAATATAGATTGTGAGTGTGTGCAGTGATGGTGTACAAAGTAGTCATAGACCAGCTAGGAGGGTCTTGCAGTGGTCCAGGTAAGAGATGAATAAGGGTGGCCTGGATTATGATGGTAGGATTCATACACTCACTCAGAAAATACTTATCAGGTAGGTGACACATACCAGTTGCTCTTCTGGATGTTGTCTTTCCTCAAGGCTTTTGGATTCTAGTGGGAGGTGGTGGCAATACACAAAAAGATAATGTTCCCTGGTTATAAGTTCTATGAAGAAAAACAAGGTAAGATAAGGGGAGAGGGACATGGGTGCTATTTTATGTGGGAAGGTTGGGGAGGACTTCTCTGATCATTTGACATTTCCAATATCTAAAGAAAGTGAGGAAGTCACTGCATAGATTTTCAGGAAAAAGGAACAGAGTATATAAAGGCAGGAGCAAAGAGACAAGCATAGCTGAAGTGGAGTGAGCAGCTGGGACCATATTGAGATACAAGGTTATGAATGGGGCTGAGTCAGAGGCAGATTATTAGGACCTGGTACACACACATCTTTGGCTTCTATTTTAGGTGAGCTGGGGAAGCAGGAGGGTTTGATCAGATCACATAGTCTAAGAAGTTGATATTCTAATGGGACCAACCTGCAGAGAAAAGACTAAAGACAGGCCAGAGCAGATCCAGAAGACCTATTAGGAAGTGACTGCATTAGTCCAAATGATTGATGATGGTAGCAGTAGAGATGGAAAGAAGCAGATAAATTTGAGATGCATGTAGGAGATGTAATCAACAGGACTTACGGATGGATCAAAGAAGAGGGTGTCAGAGAACAACTTCCAAGTTTCTGGTTTATGGAATGAATGACTGGAGGTGCCATTCTCTAAACTAATAACTCCAAAAGGGAACAAGGCTTGGGAAAAGATAATGAGCTTTACCCCTGATGTTCTGGGTATGAAATAACTCTGAGCCATTGATGAGATGTTGGGACAGCAGTTGGTCACATAGGCCTGGAGCTCAGAGCCTTTTATGAAATACAKCGTGACCCATTAGTGAGGGCTCCTCCTTCCTGGTCAACTGATGGCCCCATTTCCTTCCCCAGAATGAGCGAGAACAGATCATGACCACCAACGTCTGGCTGAAACAGGTAAGTGCCCTGYGAGCTCCCCGCCCAGGAGTGTTTCCCCTAAGGCTGCCTTTTTGTGGTKATGGATCTACAAGTGACGGAGACTTGCCTGTCTGCTCAGGAGTGGACTGAYTACCGCCTGGCCTGGAACAGCTCCCGCTACGAGGGTGTGAATATCCTGAGGATCCCTGCAAAGCGCGTCTGGTTGCCTGACATTGTGCTGTACAACAAGTGAGTGACAGAGGGTGGGCTGAGATCCCGTGAGGGTTGGGCCAGGGCAGCAGGCCCATCCTTGAGGGGTTATCCAGGTCTGAGTTCAACCCTAGATTTCATCTGWACTTCAGCTATACCTCTAGGCCACCAGACTGGAAGAAAAATAGAGATGAGTAGAGCCAGAGCCCTCAGCTAAGAAGGAATTTGGAGACCCAGAGAGGGCAAGACCCAGACAAGGCAAGGGCCTTGTCTGAGTCACTCTGCACAGCTGGGACCAGGACAGCATCCTGACCCCTCGTCCCATACTCTACCTGTCTCTATTCTGACTTTTTGAGCCTCAGTTGCTTTATCAGCATTGAGTTTTGGTGGCACCAAATTAGTGTGTAAATATCTCAGGTTGGCYAGGTGCAGTGGCATGCACCAGTAGTCCCAGTTTCTCATGAGGCTGAGGCAAGAGAATCACTTGAGCCCAGGAGTTTAAGGCCGGAGACTCTATCAAAGGACAGACAAACCCGAGTTCAAATCTCACAGCTATATTGTTTACTAGCTTTCTGACCTTAAAGAAGTCACTTCTCTGAGCCTTGGTTTTTCCTGTGTATAAAGTGAGGTAACAAAAAAGCCCACCTCAATGGACTATTGAGAGGCTTAAATGAGCTGTTCCGAGTGAAGCTTTCAGACTCTATCCTGGTGGGGCTCTCTTGGTGCCCCAGATGTCAAGAAAAGCAGGCCCCATTTACTGAGACTGGGTGATAAGTGGGAATAATCCCCAAGAGCTCCTCCAGGAGCCCAGAGTACAGGCTGGCCTTGTCTGGGGGTTTCATGATGTTCTCCTCCACACCCTATCCTCGCCCCAGTGCTGATGGGACCTATGAGGTGTCTGTCTACACCAACGTGGTGGTCCGCTCCAATGGCAGCATTATGTGGCTGCCCCCTGCCATCTACAAGAGTGCCTGCAAGATCGAGGTGAAGCATTTTCCCTTCGACCAGCAGAACTGCACCCTCAAGTTTCGCTCGTGGACCTACGACCACACGGAAATCGACATGCTCCTTAAGTCACCTATGGCCAGTTTAGATGACTTTACTCCCAGTGGTGAGTGGGACATAGTGGCCCTCCCAGGGCGAAGGACAGTGAACCCACAGGACCCCAGCTATGTGGACGTGACCTATGACTTCATCATCAAGCGAAAGCCGCTTTTCTACACCATCAACCTCATCATCCCCTGCGTGCTTATCACGTCACTGGCCATCCTGGTCTTCTACCTGCCGTCTGACTGTGGGGAGAAGATGACGCTGTGCATCTCTGTACTCCTGGCGCTCACCTTCTTCCTGCTGCTCATCTCCAAGATTGTGCCACCCACCTCCCTTGATGTGCCACTCATYGGCAAGTACCTCATGTTCACCATGGTGCTGGTCACCTTCTCCATCGTCACTACCGTGTGTGTGCTCAATGTGCACCACCGCTCACCCAGCACCCACACCATGGCGCCCTGGGTCAAGCGCTGTTTCCTGCACAAGCTGCCTACCTTCCTCTTCATGAAGAGACTTGGCCTTCACAGCAGCCCTGCCAAGGCCCCCCTGCCCACCCAGTTGTACCTGACTAAGACTGAGGCCACTGCCACCTCTGCTGTGGGCCCTGCCAGTCCCTCTAACCTCTACGGGAACTCCATGTACTTTATGAACCCTGCCCCTGCGGCGCCCAAGTCTCCAGCTGGCTCCCACTCAGCAGGCATCCCCAGAGATTTCAGGCAGAGGTCCTCTGGGAGGTTCCGGCAGGATGTGCAGGAGGCTTTGGAGGGTGTCAGCTTCATTGCCCAGCACATGAAGAGTGACGATGAAGACCAGAATGTAAGTCCCTAACCCTGCCCACAGGTCCAGTAGAAGGGGCTCAGATAACAATGTCTGTTCCCTGCCATTTTTTTGCAGTTAATTCGTATGAGATAAGGACTCTCAAATTCCTCGGAATCCACATCTGAAATGGGTTTTATTATAGCTGCGTGCACAGGGAAGAAGACAGAAGGAGCAGTGAGCTTTCTGTTTTTGGGTTCCTCAAAAGCAGATCCTGAGATGAGTTTGAGCGCAGGTAGTTTATTTGACAGGTGACCCCAGAGAGCACAGTGAGGAAGCAGGAGAAGGAGGAAACCACTGTAGGATATTAATGAGTGGCATCCTGCTGTGGGTGCCCACAGTCCTGACTGAGACCCTCTCAGGAACTAGCCTCAGAATGAAGCCCTAGAGGGAGGCTCCCATCCCCTGTGGGTTGTCAGTGACTCCAGGACAATAGCTTCCCTGCTCTTCCCAGTTACATCAGCTTGCTAGAGCAAGCCCCTCTGGTGCAGGAGAAGGCACTAGACAGAGAAAGGAGGAGATGCAGGCACCTGAAGTGAGCTGGGAATGACTCTGCAGCCATTAGGGAGCACAAGYGGGCTGGGCTACCAGGGGCATCTGTTCTTGTCTGCAGACTTGTGAAGATTCCGTACTAGCACTGTATCTTCCAGGATTATGGAAACATCCATTAAAAGCTGCTACCAGCCTAATAAATGATGAAGTGGGGTGGCTAGAATTATAGACTTTCTGAAATGAGGGTGAGTTCACTTTCACAGAACACAGAGCTTGGGTGTCTCCAGTGACTCCTTTGAACAAGTAACACATCTAAGGGGGATTTGATAATAACTGAATACAGGAGGAGACAGTCATGGTTAGAAATGTTCACATGCACCAGGCAGAACAAGTTCCRTACTCGTGTGAATGTTCTCATTCAACACAGATGAGATTCTTTGTGCGGGTTTTGATGTGATGTCTCCCTCTTTGCAGCTGCACTGGTAAAAGAGGGCATCTCCTTGTACTTGTCTTTCTGCAATCCCTTTTCAGTAGCTGCATTCTCAAGGGAGAGCACTGGTATTCCATTAGTTAGCACAGACTGACAAGTGCAGGCCCCGAAAAGCTCCAGAATCACACTGTGCAAAGGAAAGAAGAGAACTGCTAACAAATGGAACATATATAGGGCATGAGATATTCTTATGCSCCCCAGCTACTCAGAGTGCAGCCCTTGAACCAGCAGCAGCAACATGCTGAGAAATGCAGACTCTCCCAGGCCTCCCTCCCTGAATCTGCATTTTCACCAGATCCCAGGAACTTTCTAGGCATATTTCAATTTGAGAAGCACAGCTCTACAGGATTTTGCCTTCTAAAAAACTGATTGGATCATGCTATTTAATTTAAAATCATTCTGGGAGGGGGGCTGGGTTGTGGCTCAGCAATGAGCACTCACCTCTCACATGGGAGACCCTGGGTTCCATCCTCAGCACCACATAAAAATAAATAAACAAAAATAAAGATATTGTGCCTATGTATAACTAAAAAAAGATATGTTTTTTAAAAAAATCATTCAGGAGTTCACCATCACCTAATGCATTGCCTCCCAAACCTTAATTGCCACCKGGGGCCCTGCTGGCTAAATGAGAACCACCTGGGCAGTTTTTCAGACCACAGAGTTGAAGCAACTCATTCTGACTGAGCCATGGTCCCTGGGAGAAGAATCCAGGAGCCTGCAGTTTTAACCAGATCCCTGGTGGTTCTAGTACACATCGGAGGTTGAGGAGCCCTGGCCTCCTGCACAGCTGGCTGAACTGACATCCATTCTCCACTCTCCCTTCTAAAGGCCTCTCACACCATTGGCACTCACAGGCCTCCTGCTGTTTCTAGCCCCCCCCCCCGTTAATTTCAAGCCCCTAGAGGGAGGAGCCAGGCAGGACCCACTGCTGACACAATCACCAGTGTTCATTAAGCTCCATACATACATCAGGAGCTCTGCCAGAAGCCGACATAAATTACTTCCACCCCTCCCAAGAATCCCCAAAGTGGCTTTTACTAGAACCCCCAGTTTACAATGGGGCTAGTGAGGCTCAGGGACATTCTTAACTTGTCTTGGGTCACACAGCTGGCACAGAGCAGAGCTGGGATCAATACCCAGATCTCTCTGCCATGCCCCTCCCAGCGCCTTGCCCTGCACTGAACACATGGTGGACTTGTTGCTTGACTGACTTTCTCTTGTGCAAGTGGGGCAGGGTCTGTGTTCCAGGGCATGCCTGTCCCTGAGTTAGCCCGGGCAGAGTGTCTCATCTTCAGCATTTTCTCCCTCCCTGGTGATTAACTGGTCACTATAAATAGCACAAAAAATATAAAAAAGAGGGGGGGGAAATCACACACACACACACAAAAGCTGTTTGAAATTAGGGTTATCCCAAAGAAACCCAAGAATGCCAAGAAGCACGCCGTTGGAGAGCTGTGCTATGCCTGTTGCGTCTTAGAGACAGGTGCCAGTGTGTTTGGTTGAGGGTGTGGGGGCTGCTTTGGCACAGGATTATCCTAGGGGTAGACACACACCACTGATGGGGCCCTAACAAATTGGGTCACTGACGTCAGCTTGCCCGCTGCTGCCTGTCTGTATTTCCAGCTCCAGAGCCTCTGCTGAGCTCTTCCAGGGCAGGGGATGGGGGAGGGACAACAGGATGCCGGGCATCTCCCCCTGTGCCAAGGAAGCAGGCATATCTGTGGGGCACCTCTGGAGGCCAGCCAGGTTTCTATCAATGTCACACCTCATAGGTGGGTCTGAGATGACTAGAGACAGGGAAAGCAAGAGAGCAAGTCAGAGTGAGCCCAAGAGAGCTAGCCAGATGATGAGGCAGGAGGAGGCTGAGTCTTAATTAGAGGAAATAGCAGACACGGCTGTGAACGGAATTGAACGAATTAACCAGCAGGATTTCCAGGTGTTCTGTAAGCACCCACTGCCCTGCCCCCACTAAAGTAGGTGGGCCCCAAATCTTCTTTATGCAGAGCTGGCTCAGGCAGAGGATTTGGGGTGGAAATGAGAGAAAGGAGTTTCATGATCCTCAGGCCTCATCYCCCTTTATTTATAACCAGATTTGGTCTTCAAATTACAATATGTGATACAGCTTTCCCCCCAAACCTACCCATGGATTCAACAATGGGTCAAAAACATTCCAAAAAAAATTGTATTTTTACAGACTTAATTTTCTTGTCACCATTCCCTAAAAAAATACAATTATTTGCAAAGCATTTATAGTATATTAGGTACCGTAAGCAATCTAGAGATGACAGTCTGCAAGTCTRYAGGAGGATGTGTATAGGCTATGTGCAAAATCTATGCTGTTTCACATAAAGGGCTCAAGCATCCTCTGATTTGGGTGTCCACAGGGGGATCTTATAACCAATCCCCTGAGGATACTGAGGGATGACAGTATTAATGACCCCTTACATTCCKAACTTTCCTGTCCTGTCCAAGTTCCTGGTGGCTCTGCAATGCTTAGTGGGCAGGTCAGGTGGGGTTGGAGGACGCCRAGAGTGACAGAGTTGCTCAATTGAGGCCAGCCTGGGACTCAGGACTTGCCATACCATTATGTGGTTCCAAGCCCACATTGTGACCATTGGGGTCTCTGACCAGATGGTGAGGACCTGACTTAGAGGAAGGAGGGACCTCAGTTTTTCTGYACCTGTAACCAACCCTTCTATCTATCTGCAGGTCATTGAGGACTGGAAATATGTGGCCATGGTGGTCGACCGGCTGTTCCTGTGGGTATTCGTGCTTGTATGCATCCTGGGCACTGTGGGGCTCTTCCTCCCTCCCCTTTTCCTGACCCACCCACCTTCTGAGGTGCCCTAGACCGCCCATCATGTCCAAGAGCACCCTGGGCTGTGGGGTGAGATGATGTGAGCAGCCAGGTGGACAGTTCACTGCTTCCTTCTGGGTCACAGCTGATGAGGCCCTAAATAAACATCTGACCAWCAGCTAACAATCCATCAAAGCAGCCACAGCTGCCAGAGGGCAAGGATGGGGTCCTGCGCTGTCCCTTCTGAATGCCTCCGAGGAAGCCCAACAGGAGGGGGCTTCAGACAGTTTAATTCCAGCCTATCTTCCTTCCATGCACCAGGCATACTAACAGCACCTACTATGTGCCAGGCATCTCGCCCACATCCCAGCCTATCTCTCCACCCCCAGCTGTCTCCATCCTCTCTTGTCCTCYAGGCTCACTAGCCTTCTTTCAGTCTCCCACATGCTTCTAGATCCTTCCCAACTCAGRGCCTTTGYATCTACTGAACCTTCTTCCCCACCCCTGTGCTTCCCAARCTCTTCCCATGGTGTCACCAATCAGGGCTCTGCTACCATGGTCCTCTGCTCCAATATCATYTAAAGACTGTTCCCATTTCAAAACAGCCTCCCCAGTGACCACGTTACCCTATCACCATCCTCGAGCCCCCCTCAGTACGTGCAGTTATTTGGCAGCACGTTTACGGTCCACATCTCACCACCAGTGTGGGCTCCATGAGAGCAGGGTTTGCTCCTTCAGGTTTGCTCYAGGTCTGAGACTGAGCTTGGTACACAGCAGGTGTGAAATAAATGTTTGTTGAATGAATGAATGGCTCCTGCTCCTCCTTCAAGCAGCTGTCCTTGGTCCCCATCCYTGAAAGGAATGGCCCTCTTGTCCAGGACTTCATGACTCTCTGGCCACTTTCCACTTTCATATCATGGCTGGTTTGGGTCTGTATCCCTCACATGCTGATGGATCCCCCTCCCACTGCCCAGCATACTGTCTTTCCCATAGTGCCTGGCAAGTTGTAGACACTCAGAATATTTGTGCAATGGAGAACACTTAAAAATTCCATTTTTAAAATTACTATACAATAAAATGACATTTTAAATATATAATCTATGAATTATGGGCTGGAGTTGTGGCTCAGTGGTAGARTGCTTGCTAGCATGCATGAGGCACTGGTTTGATCCTCAGCACCGCATAAAAATGAAATAAAGATATAGTGTCCACCTACAACTAAAAAATAAGTATTTTTTTTTAAATTCTACAAATTATAACAGGTATAGATCTGTGTAACCACCACTACTATCAGGACACAGGAAAGATCTGTCACCCAAAAGAACTTCCCCTACCATTTCCTTATAGCCTCAGCTCCTCCACTTCYAACCCCAGGGAACCACTTACCTTCTTTCTATAACTATTGTTCAGTGTCTTTGAGAATGCTATTTAACTGGAAACATACAGTATGTAGCCTCTGGAGATTGTTTTCTTTGGTTAGCATAATACCTTTGAGATTCATTCAGTTTGCTGAGTGTATATGCCAAGCAGTACTTTATCCTATGGATGTTGAAGCACATTGAGGCTGTTTCCAATTTGGRGCAATTATGAATAGAGCTGTCACATACATCACATGTAGGATGGGTGTGAGCAAAAGTTTTCATTTCTCCAGATAAAAACTCWGCAGTGTGATTGCTGGATTATGTGGTTAAGTATGTGTTTCAACAYTAAAAGAAACTGTCAAGTGGTTCTCTGGAGTAGCTGTACTATTTCACAATCTCACCAGCAAAGTGTGAGCAAGGCAGTTGTTCTGTATCCTTTTCTGCCTTGGTATTGACAGCATTTGTTTTTCTTTTAGCCATCCTAGCAGATATATCATCCTGGTTTTAATCTGTATTTCTCTAATGGYGAGTSGTGTTGAACATCATTTTATGTGCTTTTTTGCCTTCTGTATATCCTCTTTGGTGAAWGTTTACTGCCTTTGCTCATTTTTAAAATTGGGTTGTAGTGTTCTTACTGCTGAATTTAAAAATAACTTTATTGAGGCATAATTTAACATACCATAAATTCACCCATTTTTATAGTGTACAATTTAATGAATTTTAGTACATTTATCACCATAATCCAGTTTTAGAACATCTCWGTTATTCCCAAGAAGATCCCTCATACCCACCTATTACTGTTTAATGTTGAATATGTGATTTTGCCATATTTTCCAAATGAAGATCCTTTTGCTAGCARAATGAGAATGGGGCCTGAGAGGTGGACCTCAAGTCTTCCAAAYATTTTCTGGATCCCACAAATTGTCTCCTTTTGTTTGCTTTAAATGTGGATAGCAGCCCCTTCCAGAAGAAATGAAGGTGACTCACCATTTGCTGAAGCAGGAAAAGAGAACCGGCAAGGAAGGTTAACCTTCCTCCTCTGTTTACAWCAGGAAAGACTTCAGGTGCCCTATCACGCCTGGTGGGTGGCCAGAGACTGCAAATGGTAGTAAGAGAAGAGGGAAATCTACAGATTGGGAAGAGTGGGAAGCCAGGTGCCCTCGTGGATGTCTCCAAACCTCATTTTTTATTTCTTTTCTTTTTGTTATACTTTTTTTTTTAAATTAAGGAACATTTCAAACATGTTCTAAAGTAGAGAGAACAGTATAACCAGATTCCAGATTCCATCATCCACAACTCATCGCCAATATTGTTTTAGCTGACTCCAACCTACCCATCCCCCTCCTAAACTACACACACACACACACACACACACACACACACACACACTATCACGCATAAAATATTTAACAATTACTTAAGAACATCATATACGGGAGGCTCGTTTTGAGGGTGAGCTGGACGTTCTTTATAGAGACGACCTTCTTTCTAGCCTAGCGGTCCCCAGTCCCCTGCGGTAGCTGCACACGCCCCGGAAGCCAGGGACAGGGACGGGGATTGGCCCCTCTCCTCCCTGGAGGCTGACAGTGCCCGCTTCTATCTGGTAGGGCGTCGAGCGGTCCGTAGGGTTGCCCAGGGCCGGGGAGGAGGCCGCAGGGCTCGGGGACTAGGGACCCGGAGCCCTCTCCCCACCCGCGCGAGCCCACCCCCGGCTTTCGCCCCGCCCCGCGTGGGGCTCGCGACGCTCCTCTCCGGGTGATTCGCTCACTCCGGAGCCCCAAGGCCGCCCAGAGGGAAGAGCCTCGCGCGTCCCCGCGCCCGCACGGCTCTGAGTCCGCCGTCCGCACTCGGAGCTGCGCGGAAAGACCTCAGCGTCCACGTCGGCCGCACCTGCTCCTGACCGTTCGCGTCCGCCCGCCCCGTCCGCGCGGTCCCGGTCCCGGAGAGCGGGGCCGAGCCGACGCGCCATGGGCACCCGCCGGCCCTCGCCGCCACCGCAGCTGCTGCTGCTGCTACTGCTGCTGCCAGGTACGGGCGCGGCGTGCGGGGTCCCCAGGGAAGGCGGCCCTAGGAGCGCTTCGCTGGAGGGTCCGGTACCCAGGGTGGGGACGCCCTAGCCGGGGACCCGCAGGCCACTCAGGGACGCGGGATGCCTTCTTCGTTTTCGGCTCCGGTTCCAGCATCTGATCCCGTCCATGGCCTCTTTTCACCACTAGTTGGGAAACGGTGGCCAGAGAGGAATACGGACTTCTCCCAGGCCACCTCGGGGAGGCGAGAGTCGTTTCGGGACCGGGGCCGGATCTGGCACGCCAGCCTCTAGTCCGTGGTCCTGGTCGCGTCACCTCGACCCTCAACCGGGGAGCGCGCCTCCCCGCCGGCTGCCGAGGCTCTGGAGGAGCCTGTTGGGAAGAAGCCGACCCTGACTCCCCSCTCTTCGGGAGGCCTGGGTTGGCTGGGACTCTGCAAGGCTGCAAGACGTCCCTTGGGGTCCAGCCCGTAGGTTCTTGGGGCATTGTGGCTGCATAGGGCTGTTTCTGACCCTCGTTGCGGAAGTCTTCACTACTCAGAGTGCCTTACTAGCTCAATGGAGCTCCTGCCTGGGGCACCTCCTTTGTTGGGGTGTCCGGTGGATCAGGCAAAATCCCATTTCAGGGACTGAAAAATTTGGGTCAGATTTCCTTCCCTCCTCCCCAGTTTGCCCCCAGATCTGTAAGTGGGCTGCAGCTGACCCAAGATGCCTCGACTATGCTGGGGTGTGGCTTATGAACAAAAGGGATTGCTCAGGGCTTCGGAGAAATAAGGGACTTCTAGCAGGATATGAAGACAGCATGGGCAGGAACCRGGGGTCCTACTCTGAGATCATGAGAGACAGATGGATGCCTCGGCTTCCAAGAAGGCTGTGGCCAAACCTCTACATGATCCTGAGTGGGRCAAGGGGGACTCCCAGATCTGGGATGCAGTCTCCTAGGCTTAGAAGCAGGACACCTGAGCCTGGGTGACCCCCAGCCTCCCTGCCCCTGGGGTTGGACAGGGAATCTTTCCAGGAGCATTTGCACCACATGCCTGCCCTGTAGTGACAATAAAAGTAAGGATAATTTATAGCTCTTGAGCTTTTACCACATGYCACTAAGGATGTCACTCCTCACAATCCTTTGATGTGAATACATTTATAATCTTTATTTTGACACATAAAGAAACCGTGGCTCAAAGAGGTTAAGCTACTAGGCTAAGCTCACACAGCTCACAGTGGTTTGTTAAGATTTGCACCAGTTTTGTCCAAYGTCAGAGCCCAGGCTTATTACCACCGAATTGTGTGACATGGTGGAATCCCTGTCTCTCTTGGTCTTCAGTTTCCCAGTCTGTCATTGGAGGAAGCAATGGAAGTCTGGGGTTCATAGAGTACCCCAGAGGTTATCAGTGGGTGATGTCCCTTGTGGGAGAGATAAGTAGTAATTTCCCCAGGGACTGACAGGGCTGTTTCCCTTAGTGGCCAGTAGCTCAGAGGCCGAGCATCGCCTGTTTGAACGCCTGTTTGAAGATTACAACGAGATCATCCGGCCTGTGGCCAATGTGTCTGACCCAGTCGTCATCCAGTTTGAAGTGTCCATGTCTCAGCTGGTGAAGGTGGTGAGTGCTGGAGCCACAATCTGTGGCCACGGGGTACAGGGCTTCTGGAGGAACTTTTCCCAGAAGGAGCCTTGTTTTTGTCATTTATGTCTACTTTAATCTTCTTTTCAAGGATGAAGTAAACCAGATCATGGAGACCAACCTGTGGCTCAAGCAAGTAAGTGACCAGGTTTAGTGCACTGCWGCCCCCTGGTGGTGACTGCTTTAATTGCTGTCCGTGGACCAAAAAGGACCCCACAGACTGGGCTTCACTCCTGGATCACATGCACATGCACTGATCTGAAGTCTACCTGGAAGGACAACAGGGCCTTGCCCCTTGAGTCACAGATGGACAGTCTGCAGCTTAGAGAGAGAGACCTCTCCAGAGTCCCACTACCAAATGAGATAGACCTGGCCCCCAATTCTTGGTAGCATATGACCATCTCCTTCCTTTCCTCTTTGCCAAAACTCATCCTTAAGTCAGAATCAGATTCTCTTGCATCACTAATAGAATAGGAGTAGGGTCTCTGTATATTCTTGTTCCAATTGAGGCAATAGAATTGGCTTCCTCATAGCTTCCCCAGGGAAGCTTTGCTTAAGACGTGCTGAGAGACATAATTGTCCATTGGCCTGATGGTGACCCTTCTGCCAGCTCAGCCAGCTGAGCATCCTGCTCACACAGCCTTCATCCACAAGAGGCTGACAGTAGACACAGTGTCCCCACCCTACACTCCAGGACATATTCCCTCTGCAGCCATAGCATGACCTCTCTCATCTAGTGCTCTGCTCYCATCCCTTCCTAGACTCAATATGATCATGGCTCTCTCCTCAAGAACCTTTCAAGCTGGGCACAGTGCTGCACACCTGTAATCCCAGCAGCTYAGGAGGCTGAGACAAGAGGATTGCAACTTTAAAGCCAGTCTCAGCAACAGCAAGGCACTAAACAACTCAGTGAGACCTGTCTCTAAATAAAATACAAAAAATTGGGCTAGGGATGTGGCTCAGTGGTCGAGTGCCCGAGTTCAATCCTCAGTAACCCCCCACAACACCAAAAAAAAAAAAAACAGAAACTTTCAGAGTTGGAGAGCTTCTTTTTTATGGGAGCTTGGTCAAAGATTTGTCTGAAAGAGAGCAGCTGGAACTTAATGCATGGACCTAGATCTGGTGGTAGAAGTCCAGGAAGCTGGACTTGGCATTGGAATGACTGGAGAAAACACCAATCAATGGTCCCTATTTGATTGATGAGGGGCTGGGATCACCCACAGTCATGGAGGCATGGTTCTCCTAAAGCAGGAGGCAACTTACAGACTGAGCCCAGGGCTATCTTCCCTGCTACACACACACACACAAGGAGCTGGGCTTGTGTGGTCTGCAACATGCAGGGGGCTCAGGAACCTGTGGCTGAGGTGGGGAGTTACCAAGATATAGTATTAAGAGCAATAAGTCAGGCTGGTCTTTCTGCTGTCTCTTCTTTCCTCTCTGCCCCTTCCCCCCAGATCTGGAATGACTACAAGCTGAAGTGGAACCCCTCAGACTACGATGGGGTGGAGTTCATGCATGTACCTGCACAGAAGATCTGGAAGCCRGACATTGTGCTGTATAACAAGTAAGGTGCCTGAGGACCCACATATCTGGGGACTGGCAGCCTGAGCTCTGTGTTCTAGGCCCACTGTGATTACTGATAGGCCTTCCTCAGGTCTTTTCCAAGAGGGCTTTGTTCATTCTTCAAGGATTTGCTGAGCATCTACTATATACTAGGTAATAGAGATGCCAGTGAGCCAAAGAGAGTGGCAGTGTGCTGAGTTGCTTCAAAGTAGGTGATGTGCTGATAGAGGAAAAAGCTTCTGGGAAGCAATTGCATTGAATTGGTTTCAAAGGTCACCTCACATCTGGAGAAGGAGCTGGAATGCGGGTAGCACAGGGAGGCAGGAGAGTATGGACCCTCACTTGCTGTATTGTAGGACATAAAACTGGAAGGGTCAGGGGAACAGCCCTGGTGTATGGCAAGAGAGTGAGGTATGTCAAGGATGGCCTTGAATGTGGCATCTGTTAGCAACTCTGTGCAAACAGACAGGGATAAAAGCAAATGTCTCCCTTTTTCTTCATTGAAAGAGAATGAGGGTGTAGGAGAAGGCAGAGCTGGCTGAGTCTGAGTTGTGTCCTCCCAGGGTTCCCCACTTGCAGACAGTTCAGCTGCTAGGGAATTTTTTAAAATACAGGTGTCTACTGTTAAAATATTTTCTTCTTTGTTCCTGTCTTTTCTAAGGTTACTATATTTTGTAATACACTCTACTGTAACCATAGGTATGTTTACATGTATAGTTATATTACCCAATTTCTGTACCCATCCCACAGAAACAGAATGGGTTGGGTACAGGATGGACTCAAGAATGTATTTTCACCAACTGTGCTGGGGGCTGTGAGGGCCAGTCTGCTTTGGGGATCACTAATACAGCCTGTCCCCCATATTTCATAGATATAGAATGGGGCCCATAGTAGAAGGTGACCTCATTCAGTGGCAAAGCCAGGCCTAGGGTGGTCTCAGTAGTCCTCTATGCTTTAGGAGGCTGATGCTGTGATCTTGGGGCTCAGGCGGGCACTCCCAGCCCATTCTTTGCCTGTCCTCAAACCTTTTCTCCACTCTCCCCAGTAGCAAATCTGCCAGCAGGCAGTTATCCACTGCACAAATGTCCCCTCCAAACCGCCTCCCACTGGTAAAAGTCTGAGCCTTGAGGAATGGATCTGTGCCCCTCACCACACACACACAGGCTGAGTAAAGTTCCCAGGTGCAAAGTGTGGTGAGCTCTGCCAGCCACAGAGGCCCTGGTCAAACTGGATGGCCACAGCCCCCTGAGGATGAGTATAGGCCTCTGGAGGGAAGTGGGTGGTTCCTACCATCCAGGGAAGCTGCTCGCAGGCCATTCCCTCCCAGGAGCACATGTGGAGTCTCCTCTGGACCCAGAGCACACATCTTCCTATCTCAGGAAGCCCTCCTTTTTCCCTTTCAAAAGTTTTTCCTCTCTGATTCTGCCCATGTGGTGCATCTAAAGCCCATTTCTCCTTCTTAAACCCACACAAAATGGATCCCTTCCACATTTAAGCTCTTTTATTAAGCAAACACAAATTATAACCAATATTTTACCATATATACTAATTTGTTTTCCGGATATTGGAAAACAAATTTTTTCACCCATGTTTCAACTGTAGAGTGATAATGTTTTAACCATTAAAGCCATGAAGGGTGGGGCTGGAGAGATGTATCTTGGTGAGAGAGTAAGTGGATGCTTACATTAACAGGGCCCTGAGTTCAAACCCCAGCACCAAAAAACAAAACAAAACAAACATCAGGCAAACAAAACACCAGTTTTTTAGTAAAACATTTCATAGTTAGTATAATCTGATTTTAATGAATTAAAGCATTCTTTGTTTAGGTATTTATTCATATTAGTATACACTGATATGTTTTTACTACTAGTAGCAGTACTCTTGGTATTACAATTAGCATCAGGACTGGGGAAGCTGGTATGTATATATATATATATATATATATATATATATATATATATATATATATATATGTAAAATCTCCCATCTTCTGGTCCCCAGCAGAAACAAAAAGGATGTCTTTAACCTTTTCAGACACAATTTTACAAATATTCCTTTCATGCAACTTGTATTTGTAAGCCTGTCCTTAAAGAACTGAGACATAAGATGCACTCAGCTGGTTTGCAGAAGTATTTCCTTCCACTGCAAGCTGACATAGAAATCTCATGGTCCAGAGGYTCTTAGGGAACTGGGCAGAGTATAGAGAATTCTTGCTAAGCAGGAACTGAGAACACAAGCAAAAATATTAGATTTACATTTTGGGTTTTATGGCTGTTTCCTTGCTGGCAATTTAGGGTGAACAGCTGCAACACTGTAGGATGAATGATTTTAACAGTAATGAGAGATGTGGCCAAACACTTCAATTTAAATATATCATAAGGAATTTCCTTGGAATCTGCAGCTGAAAATAATATTGTGAAAAATCATCCAATCTAACCTTTTACTTAGAACTTACATTTCTCAAATTGACCCTCTGTTGAGGGTTTCTCTTCCTTTTAACACAATAGAAACGCCATTTTTTTCTTATATCAGAATTTCTACTATGATGTTTTGTTTATTSTAAAGTTCATTCTCTAATAGAATCCTCAAAATGCTCATAGATACAACATACCCTTAGTTCTTGCAAGTTCAYAAGAGAATATTTTTTAGAGAATACTTTTAGGTTGCTTGGGCTGGATAGAAAATCCTTGGCTTCTATTTCCCTGTAATGAAAACCTTATAAATTTTACCTCGTTGTCTTTTGGTAAGAAGTGTTGTTGTCAAAATCCATGTCAATCTAATTTTCTTTTCCTTGTTAAATAAGGTGACTTTTGAGAGAGGAACAGGGCATTATAAATAAACATGACAGGACCACACATGTAAGCCAGGCTGTCTTGAGTAAATGGGCAAATTCAATTGATAGTCATTTATAAGTAGTCGGCCTTTTTATTGGCTACCCACAGGATTTCTTCTTTTGTCTTTATTTTTAGTTTGAGATGGGGTCTTTCTTTGTTGCCCTAACTGGTCTCAAACTTATGAGCTCAAGTGATGCTCTTGAGTCTGCCTAGGGCTATGGGGATATGCCTCTACTTTGTCCTTAAAGTCTACTTGTTGGGCATGGTGGTGCACACCTGAAATCCCAGCTAATCAGRAGGCTGAGGTAGGAGGATTGTAAGTTTGAGACCAGCTTGGGCAACTTAGACAGGATCTCTGTTTCAAAATAAAATATAAAAAGGGCTGGGGGTATAGCTCAGTAGGGAGCACCCCTGGATTCACCCATACCAAAAAAAAAAAAAAGCCCAGTTTACTATGTAGCACATACATAAAAAGCCCCTTTTTTTCCAGGGAAGTTTTGTTTTGTTTTGTTTTGTTTTTTAAAGAGAGAGAGAGAAAGAGAGAGAGAATTTTAGAGCGCGCTACCACTTGAGCCACATCCCCAGCTTCTAGGGAAGCTTTTTTTTTAAATTTTTTAATAGTTGTAGATGGACAGCATGCCTTTATTTATCAACCCCAGTGCCTCACACATTCTAGGCAAGTATCTGCCACTGAGCTGCAGCCCCAGCCCCTCCGGGAAGTTTTTTTACATTAGTTTTTAAGATTTATTCTATTCCATTGATTTGGTTTCCTCTGCTGGAACACATATGCACATGTGTGTGCACATGCTCATGTTCATGAGCACACGTGCGCGTGCTCTCTATATACACATATATACATATATGTATGTGTGTGTGTGTGTGTGTATATATATATATATATATATATATGAATTTCTCTGCCTATGTTCCTTCTCTATTATGCTCTTAATTTGATTTAAACAATTTTGTGTGTGTGTGGTGCTGGCGATTGAACTCACAATACTGTCAGTTGCATCTGCTTTGTGGCTGTTTGGCCTATGTCTTCCTTAAACAGTTACCTTGAAGTGAGAAAATCTGCACTCAGGTTAGCCATTTCCAGGGTCTGCCAGCACTTGAACCTTCTACCACCTCATCCCACTTTCTCCCCTGTTCACTTTGGATCCGACTTTTCCTCTGAGTGGGCCTCTGATTTGGGGGCTTATTTCTGAGATTCTCTGAAGCCCTGCCAGCCCCAGCTTCTCTTCAGACCCTAAGTGAATTCCCATGGTCTTTGTTGTTGTTCTTACCACAAATTGGAATCTATGGAACCATAAATTGTTCTTACTGTCTGTTTTACTGTCCCCTTGCTGAGGGTTCAACACAGAGTAGGTCCTTTTCTTTGTGGAGTCAGACACTTCTTGGAGATATCTTTTCTCTTCTCTCAGGTACTTCCTCCCAGCAGCTAGTCCCACATGGGCCCCCTGGGCCACGTAGTAGTCTGACCCCTACCCTCATATTCTCAGGTTCGAGGGTTGCCCTTACTTAAATCTGTCTGCTGACAGTGTGATCCACAGGTTTGTTCCTTTGCCATCCTAATTGTCCAGGTTTCTTAGGGAATTTGGAGATTGTAAAAACCTCCACCATCTTGGTTTTTCTCCTACCCTGGCCCACTTACCTCCTTAATCTCCCCTTATATTGAAGGAACACCTCAGCTCATCGTTTACTCACAATGCCTTCTATTTTTTCAACTAACTCACATGGTTTGACAGTTAAGTCAGCTCAGATCCTCCTGCTTCTGCTGTCTCTTGCTGCCAGCCATCTCACTCTTGGGCTCTGCCAGGGGTGAGATCTTCATTTATTTTTTTGGTCATTCATTCAGTCAACAGATATTTACCAGGTGCTCTCTGTTTAGCTGGTGCTATGCGAGACCCCAGTCCTTGTCTTCTCTCTCAGTGGTATAGATATGACAGTTGATATGCCCCAAGCAGCAAACAGGCCTTCTGACCAGACTACACACACAGCCAGGGGCATCTTTAGGCAGTAACAATGGCCAAGATCCCCAGAAATGAGCAAAAATGAGTACTAKCAACCAGGGCAAACAAATCTCTGGTGTTTGTTCTTTGGACACACATACTTTGATGAGTCCTTGATTAAGAACCGGAGTTCTGAATGGCCAAGGCTCTGTCCACAAACTCTATGGACTTTGAGCAAATCATTCTTGTCCTCTGATCCTCAGTTTCCTCTTCAGTAAAATGAAAGGACTAGATTACAGCTAGGGTGAATCAACTCTGTGAAGTCCAAAGAGTAAAATATTTTAGATTTTGTGGGTCATGGAGCTTCTGTCACAGCTATTCARCTTTGCCTTATAGCTCAAAATGGCTGTAGACATTAAAAAACAAACAGAAGTAGCTTTGTCCCAACAGAATGTATTTGTGGAAATAGGTGACAGGCCTGTGGGCCAGAATTTGCCAACCCCTGGACTAGACCCTCTACACAGATCCCTTATTTCCCTGACATTTTAGGGATCCAGGAGACCTGTCTTTCTGTGGGTCTTTCTACCCTTCTGCTTAGCCCAGCTCAGGGTGCCATGGGTGCTAACATGGGCTAAGTCCATTTGGAGAACTTAGYCCATGTTAGCACCCATGGCACCCCACCCCACTGCCCAACCCTCTCCCTTCTGCCTGGAGCCAGGAACTGGAAGAGGGAAGGGAAGCTAAGAACATATAAACCCAGCAGGGCAAACCAGCCAGCTGGAGTGAAGGTGGGCAGGGCTTTGGCATTGAGTCTTCAGTGCAATGATTGTCTTCTCAAACAAGGGATGTGAGGGTGGGAGGCCCAGAGACTAGCAGGGAGGAAAGATGTGCACTGGAATGTTCCCATTTAGTTTTCACAGGTTCTTCTCCAATACAGTCACACAAGGACATCCCTGAATGTTTCGATTCTATAATTGTCTTGCAGCTCTTCATGTACCAGGTAAAGGGATGTGAAAGATACAAATACCTTCAAATGCTGGAATGCTAAGAAATAGAAAAGGGCTGATCTAAGGAAATGTAAGAGCCTTCATGGGCAGGGACATTGTGAGGATCATCCAGCCTTACTGTCAGATGACATCATCTGGCTGTTGCAATGGAATGCTACAGGGTATTGAGCCTATCATCAGATCTCCTGCTGAAGAAATCAGATTATAACAAGATGACTCTAAGAAAGAATGTGTATCTATGTGCAAAAACAAAAAAGTTTGTGTGTGTGTGTGTGCACGTAGCTTAAAGAAAGGAAGAAAAACATGGAGAGTAAGTGGGGGCAGATAGGGAAAGAGAAGGCAAAGGACTCTGTTATGCTGAATATGAAAGACAAGGAATCAGAAGACACGATCATCTACTGTGGAATAATGTTGGGAGGAATGGGCAGTGTGGTGAATAGTCGGATCAGGATCTGCAGGTAGGTTCTGGAAATAAAATCATCTATAAAGGTTCAGTTTAATGGGTATGGGCTTCCACGGTGTCTGTGCAACCCCTTTCAGCCTACCATCTGGTTACACACACACACTAGGCGCCCAGTGGAGAATGAACAAGATTCTAACAAGGTCCAGACCACAGGGACAACAGATAGCAAATATATACTGCTTGAACACCTGCCTCCAGGTCAATGACTTTCATCCCATTTTTTAAAATTAAGCAGGGATGGGGAGGTCTTTCTGGCATTTGGGGGTCTCTGTAACCATCAGGTTGGGAATTTTATGTTGTGTAATGAACTGGTGATGTGCCCAAGGGTCAAGGAATATGACAGACTGTGTGTTGGGAGGAGGTCTGGGACTCATTTTATCCACCAGTAAATGGGACAGTGAACTAGGTGACCTCTCATGGCACTTTTAGCTCTCACATTCCAGTTTTACAAACCACTACTTGCCATTTACCTGCTGGCAGCATGAAAAGCTGGGCTGGATGACCCTGGGGTAGTGACCATGTCACCATGCTCCTCTTTTCCTTTGCAGTGCTGTTGGGGATTTCCAGGTGGATGACAAGACCAAAGCCTTACTCAAGCACACAGGTGAAGTGACTTGGATACCTCCAGCCATCTTCAAGAGCTCGTGCAAAATCGATGTGACCTACTTCCCATTTGATTACCAAAACTGCACCATGAAGTTCGGTTCCTGGTCCTACGATAAGGCGAAAATCGACCTGGTCTTGATTGGCTCCTCCATGAACCTCAAGGACTACTGGGAGAGTGGTGAGTGGGCCATCATCAAAGCCCCAGGTTACAAACATGACATCAAGTACAACTGCTGCGAGGAGATCTACCAGGACATCACATACTCTCTGTACATCCGGCGACTGCCCTTGTTCTACACCATCAACCTCATCATCCCCTGCCTCCTCATTTCCTTCCTCACTGTGCTCGTCTTCTACCTGCCCTCCGACTGCGGAGAGAAGGTGACACTCTGCATCTCTGTCCTTCTCTCCTTGACCGTGTTTCTACTGGTGATCACTGAGACCATCCCATCCACCTCCCTGGTCATCCCCTTGATTGGGGAGTACCTCCTGTTCACCATGATTTTCGTCACCTTGTCCATCGTCATCACAGTCTTCGTGCTCAACGTGCACTACAGAACCCCAACCACGCACACAATGCCCACCTGGGTGAAGACGGTATTCTTGAACTTGCTCCCTAGGGTCATGTTCATGACCAGGCCGGCCAGCAATGAAGAAAACACTCAGAAGCCAAGGCCCTTCTACAGTGCCGAGCTCTCAAATCTGAATTGTTTCAGCCGCACAGAATCCAAAGGGTGCAAGGAAGGCTACCCCTGCCAAGATGGGATGTGTGGCTACTGCCACCACCGCAGGGTCAAAATCTCAAATTTCAGCGCAAACCTCACTAGAAGCTCCAGTTCTGAATCTGTTGATGCTGTGTTGTCCCTCTCTGCCCTGTCACCAGAAATCAAAGAAGCAATTCAAAGTGTCAAATATATTGCCGAAAATATGAAAGCACAGAATGAAGCCAAGGAGGTGAGAGTCTGGTTGCTATTATCATCCATTCAGTCAGCAGGCGTGTGGGTTCTTTGTGCAGCAAGGCATTGATTGGGTGGGGCTAAGAAATTAGACTCTGGGTTCAGCAGCCTGTGTTCAGGACAGCTATATGTCTTTGGATATGTGAGTCACCTCACCTCCCTAAGCCTCTTTTCTCATGTGTAAAATGTGGTGATAAAGCATGTGAAGATATGGTGCCCTAAGTTAGCCACAGGGCTGCCAGCAGTTCCGGCCACTAGGACATCTGTGCGGAGAGTGGATTAGGAGGTAGCCTGGAATAGGGCACGAGGCCAGATGCTCTCCAGTTGGGTATTGACCAGCTGCATTTTTATTTTGGGTATTGACCAGCTGCATTTTTATTGGGTATTGACCAGCTGCATTTTTATTTTCACTTTTTGTGTTTTCTCACTGAGGTATGTGCATGGAGTAAAGTGCCTGCTCCGTATAACTGTGCAGCTCAATGAATTTTTACATTATGTCTACACCTGTGTAAACATGATCCAGGCGAAGTTTCAGAACATTCTCGATGTCCCGTTAGGTTTTGCCGTGCCCCTTCCAGGTCATTCTTCTCCCCAAGTGACCAACCCCGATTTTTTTTTTTAAATGTATATGTGGTGCTGAGAATCAAATCCAGTGCCTCATACATGCTAGGCAGTGCTATACCACTAAGCGACAACCCCAGCCCCTGACTTTATTTCCATTGGTTAGCTTTATCTGTTCGTGGATTTCATGTGCATGGAATAGCATCCTGACTTCTTTCATTCAACATGTCTTTGAGCTTTTTCCTTGTTGCTGTTTCCTTATTATTGGTGTGTAATATTCCTCAATATGACCTTATTACCTTGTTTATTTTACAATTTTTGGACAACTATGAACAAAGCTGCTTATAACTTATGTCTTTTTTTTAAAGAGAGAGAGAATTTTTTAATATTTATTTATTTTTTAGTTTTTTGGCGGACACAACATCTTTGTTTGTATGTGGTGCTGAGGATCGAACCCGGGCCGCATGCATGCCAGGCGA